GTATATTTTACTTATAATATTAGATGGATTTCGAATGGGGGGGGGGGCGCTAAAAAGGTATTGTGCCCCGGGCGCGAGTTAAGCTCGCTACGGCACTGTGCAGCGTTGACTTCAATTAAAATTAAAACTCTGTTGATAAAACTTTAAAACTATATTAATAAAACTTCAGTTTCTAACTCCCTTCATAAACAATAGATGTCGCAGCCTTACCAAAGAATTAAAATTTAATGTTTATGACTCATACAACGAGAATTAATAAAAGAAAATTTAATATTATTTTTCGGTATTGTTTCGGTAAAGTTTTTCTCAAAATAACTCATAAGATGATTCCACTAATTATATTAATATTCTACTTTTGATATCATCACAACAATAGCAATAAGCAATTATGTAAAGCTGTATGTAGCTGATTATGTTAAAAACATAACTGATGAAATTATGTAGCTGATATTTTAAAAACAACATTTTTCTGCCCTTACGTGCTGCCCTCTAGTTTATTATTGTAAAATTATTTTGTGTAAATTTCTTGTTTTTATTACAATAAGACATTATGCATTATTTTCAGTATTAATTTTCTTGTATCTTTAAACTGCTTCATAAAATACGATTAGTAATGTAAAGAGAATTAAAGGATATGTTTGGTGACTAAATATGATGGTTGGTACTTTCTTTTTAAAATTAAATTTTGCATTAACTTCATTTTAAAATAAGTTCCCATAGTTTTATTTTGCCACCAAACGTATTATCTTATTCTTCTTATATTACTGATCGTCATTAATACATTATACCTTACTTTTTATTTAAAACTATCCAACCACTCTAAGGTCTTTTTATAGATTTTAATTAATTATCATTTGAGATTAATGTGTTTTAAAACTGATTAATTTCTCTTATTTATTGAAAAGCAATTTTGCAGAATTTTATTATTTAAAATAAATCTGCATCGTATTTGATTGTCTTAAATTTTTTTCGTCTGTTTCAAAAGTAAAAAATTCTTTACTGATTCATAAAAATAATAATAATAAAACCATTTTCCACACACAATAACACATATTATTACTTTTTAAAGAAACTAAAAGTTCTCATGAATTATCTAATTGTTTGATATGTAAATGTATAAAGCTTGCTGATTGGACAGTTGTCCTATTATTCGTATCTAGTATAGTTTTAGTATCAAACATATGTAGTTCCGAACGAAATTAAAAATAAATAATAATTAAAAAATTAAAAGTAACATTTCCTAACTTAATTTTCTTTTTTCTGAAATATTGTAATTTTTTTCATAAAGAAATAAATTTCCTTTAAAAAACTTATTTGTTAAAATATATGTTTACAAATTAACATTTATATTTATTATATTATATATTTATAGCATATTAATATGGAGTGCTGCCCTGGAATTTCTAGTTTCCTAAATTTTTTCTTTGCGTTAGTAAAATAATTGGATAGGAAAAATTCTTTATAATGAAATCAATTTGACTTTTTTTCATCCAGCATGTTTTAAAAATTTTTCTCAAACAATTTAAAATTTATGTATGAATATGTATACTACATTTTTCATTTTCTGCATTTCAATAATATAAAGAAAAATTATAAATTTATTTTAATTTAATGAAAAAAAAAATTAAAATTTTTATTTAAAAAGTAAAATAGACTGTGTTCGACTGTATTGACTGGGTTGCCAGCCACTCTCTTATCTCAAGCGCTATCCCCTTACTGCACGGTGCGGCAGCTTTTGCCTGCTCCGTTTCCGGCCTGGGCCGGTTTGCACCGCCTTACTGTATATTAATAAGCAGCGCTGCCAATTCAGAAATTTCGATAATATTCTATTTATATACATACATTTACATACCTATAGCATTTTCCTTATTAAAAAAAATTTATACATTCGAGTAATTTAATGATGAATTACACATTTAAAAGAAAAAATCTAAAAATTTGATTTAAATAAAAAAGACTGTGTCCGACTGTATTGACTGGGCTGCCGACCAATCTCTATTCACAAGCGCTGTCCCATTACTGCACGATGCGGGAGCTTTTGCCTGCTCCGTTTCCGGCCTGGGCCGGTTCGCTCCGCCTTAGACGACCTGGTAACTCCGGACTCCTCCGGTTCCACCATATCGACATCGTGCTTAATGCGGACGCCTGATCAACATAGACGAACGGAGGACAGAACTCCCAACCTCAAGCCATCCTACAGCCTAGACCTCCAAGCAGCTGGATTACAAGACCACGCCACTGGTCCCGGTCGATAGGAAACTTGAACTTGAACTGGTGTAGCATACAAAGTGCCTGTCCGCGAAGCGGACAATTGACTTTTCCATCTGAGATAGTGCCCGTGGGCGCCTGTAATGGTGGCGATGTAGTGATGAGTAGAGTGGCGAGCGAAAACGCAGAAGCGGAAGTCACAAATTAGTTTATACTAAAAGCGATAAGTCCTAATATATGATGGTAGCGATGAAGTAAGAGTGGCAAAAGAAATTTAGGTATAAATCTAGGGGTGGTATGCTCGCGAGTCAAGGATCACCCTTCTGGTCATTTCCCCTCTCTGCGAGCATCCATGAATATAAAGGGTGGCCACTATTTGTAGTACTTTGATAAGATACAATCAGAGAGCGGTCGATAGGTAGAAAACACCTGAGCTTTATGAAGTTGTGTTTTTGAATTTCTCTGCAGAACATCGCCATCTATTGTCATTTATTGTACTGAATGTTTCGTTTGTTCTTATTAAATAAATAAAATAAATAACTAAACAATAAATAAAAAAATAAATAAATATATGAAATCGTGACATCTTAATGATATCAAAAGAAATATATCTGGCTCGAAAGACAGTTCATTATGCTAGGCTATGTTATGTAAAAAAGATAATCTAGCATAAGGATTTTTTAAGTAAGTTTATTAGATCAATAATGAAACAACTTAATCAACTGAGCATGAACTGAACTGTTGAAACAACTGTTTCCTGATTTGAAAAATTGTCTAATGCAATAGAATTTACATAAATTATAAAATGGTCTATAAAATTGTTTTGATTCTGTACATAAGAGTTAACGTTCAAATAATGTGAAAAAGCAGATAGTTTGCTTTTGTTTATTATTTTAGCTAACAGCAGCCGTAAAAAAAGAGTCATGATTAGTGATAAAATAAGGTTACTCTTATTTTTTCTAATATAGTTAAGTAATTAAAAAAAAATTAAATTCTTCCTTTTATTACTTAACTGAAGTAGAATATTTACTTCTTCGCTTAACCACTCTCTACTTTGTTGGAATATTTACTGAGATTTTAATCAATAATCTAATATTAATGTGGTTACAATTATTGTTGTTTCGGTGTTTCAAGTCATTAAACATTAATTTTGACAGTTTATACTATTTTAATTAAAGTAGGATATTTTTTAATTTTTTTCATTTTTATTTCGTATCATAGGAGTTCATTGAGTCTTATTGCATATAAGATTGAATAATTTTGATCTAATATTTATATGAGTTAAAATATATTATATACTGTAGATCTTTGTTGATAAATTAAAAAGTAAAATATATTTCAGTTTGAATTTAAGGAAATTCAGAAAATAAAGAAATTTGAATCTGTAAAGTTATTTGTTAAACAACACTTTATTTCATTTTTTGGGAAATGCTCAATTTTTGTATTGAAGCTAATCATCATAACAAAAATTGCATTTGAAAACCTTTCAATGCAATAAGATATATGTGGCTAATGTTGTTAAATAGTTGGCTAGATTTTTATGACTTTTTTTAACCGTCGTAATTTGTATATTTTAAGCATTTTTTAGAACATCTATAATTAAATAAATCAATAATACAAAAAATTAGATTAAATTAATATATTTATTGCATTAATTGAGATATCAAAACTCAGTTAGCTTTTTTTTTCTTTTTTTTTTTAATTAGAAAGCAGTGTGATTTGTATATTGNATAATTAAATAAATCAATAATACAAAAAATTAGATTAAATTAATATATTTATTGCATTAATTGAGATATCAAAGTTAGCTTTTTTTTTTATTTATTTATTTATTTTTTTATTTATTTTTTTTTTAATTTATTTAATTTTTTTTTAATTATTTTCGTATTTCTAACGGAAAGATTTGGACAAAAATTAAAATGTATACTGCATTTTAATTTTTCAAGTATTAACGTATATTTTTCATGTAGTGTCTTAATTTAATGAGAAAGTAGTTTAATAATTTCATTTTTTTTTAAAAAAAATACCGTGTTTGACTGTATTGATTAAGCCACTAAACGCTTGCCATCCACAAGTGCTATCCCAATACTGCACGCTGCAAGTTTTTGCTTGCTGCGTTTTCGACCTGGGTTGGTTAACTCCTTTTTAAAAGACCTGGTAGCTCCGAGCTCCTTCAGTTCTGCCATATCAACATTGTGCTTAATGCGGATGCCTGATCAGCACAAATAAGCAGAAGGCAGATCTCCTAACATCAAGCCGCCCTACAGCCTAGACCTCCAAGCAACTGGATTTCAAGATCACGCCACTGAACCCAGTCGACGGGCAGAAAACACTTGCTTTTTATCAACTAGTGTTGTCATTCATCCGTCTGAAAAGTGGGTCCAATCTACTGACGAAAACACCCAAGCTTTATTTAGTTTTGTCTTTAAATTACCTTTCTGGATTCTAGGTGTTATATTAATTTAATATAATGCATGTTTCATATTCCTAGGTTCCCGAACCTAGGTTTTAGGTTCATATTTCTCGGTGAAAAAATACTCCTAACCTTTTAAGTGCGATCAAAACAGTTATTTATATTTCAGAAAACATTGTGGCGTAACTACCACTACGAAAATTAAACATCAATTCACTGGTATATAAGACATGCTAACTTGATTCAAACATTAGGTACCTTTTGATAGATGACGGTTGGCATAGTCGTTAACTCTGCCCGCACAACATTTTATTATGTAGGTTAGACAATGTATTTACTGACAAAATATTTACTAAATGAGTTGCAAAACACAATCATTTATATTTATTTTATTTACATTATTTTCTTTTACATAAATTATATAATAAAATAATGATCAGGTGAATGGAAAGTGAACAAGCGTAATGTTTATGAAAAATTATTGAGCAACAACTGACTCTACATAAATTATAAATTAGCCTTTGAAATTATTTACAATATATACATAACATAGTTCTTTCAAAAACTGCAAAAAACAGTACAATTATTAGGCTTTAAGAACATTTCTATATCTCAAAATGAAAAAAAAAATAGATTTGGCCCTCAATTCATATTTGACCTTCATTTCTAATGTTCATTTTGTTTACAATTATCTTTTTAGTGAGAAGTATTATTTTGAAATAATTTTAGAGTTATGAAATAGTTAGTCAGTATCATGTGTATTTAATTTACAACCAAACGTTTTTTTAAATTTAAATTGAATTGAATTATATTTAAATATAACTCTGTTGTTAAAAAAAATTAAGATTCGTAAAACCAGGAACAAGGAAGGTAGTCACCTTTGCCAGAGGCGTCTGAAGACATGTCAGTAAAGACGTGGCATGTAAAAACATACAACTAAGACTCAGTTAAGTTTTGTAATAAAGGGTCTTTTTATATTTTCCTGAAGAATAAGATGGAATGGAGTAAAAAAGAATAATAAGAAAGAGAAAACTTTATCAAATGGATGATAGAAAATTTTATTTTTAAATTTATTGCGAAATTGTAACCAAAATCACCTTAAACTTTTTCAAAGGTAAATCTATGGAAATTTTATACAGTGATTTTTACTGATTGTTTTCTTCATATTGCATATTCGGAAATGTTTTAAATTTTCAAATTATTTCGAATTTGTAGTTAGGTTCCTAAATTTATTCAAATATAAACAGTTTTGTTTCGAATTTTAAGAAAAAATTCTCTTGAAAAAGTATTATTTACGATTAAAGTTTTAAATCTACTTTTCCGTTGCAGAAATTTGGAATTCTAAGGTGAGATTTAAATTAATAATTAGCTGGAAATGGAATGAAGGGAGGAAAGGGAAATGAGGGAGGTACATTGACTAACAGGAATGTTAAAAGTTTAACAATTAATTTTTTCCTCCTCCTATATTAATTATTTGAACACTGTGTTTTGGTTCAAAGTCACGACCTAATGGAGCGTCATGTCCCATTGGATTGTACTGTTGACCAGACTGCCCGACTCCCATTGGATTATAGAGCGACGCACTATGACCAGATTCCATTGGGTATCTTCCAGAAGTCATTGGATGTCCTCCATAAGCCATTACTGGCATCAGATGCGTCCCATGGTGGTGATGGTGCCCTTTATGGTGATGTTCTTCATGATGTACTGGTACAGGGACGGGGATGAAGATAGGATGATGGTGATGGCCACCACCTTTCTTTTGAAGAACTTTGGCCAAGACTCCTGCTGTGAGTAAGGTCTCCAACTGATGATTGTTGTGGTGTTTATGAGCGATTGTAGAATCAGGAAGTGAGAACCAGCATGCCAGGAAAACCACAATAGTGAAGAGGGTAAATCTAATCAACATGTTTTAAGGATGATCTAGAAAACAAATTGTATTTTCTTTAAAGATGTAGGTAAAAATATTTAAGTAATTATGTTAAATGACATTATAGTAAATTTTAGAGTATCAGGTAAATAAAACATTCATGCACGCGTTTTTTCTCTTTGTTAATTTTCTGTACAGAGTTCTTGTTCTCCTAGAACAAAATTAAAAATGGGTCAGCAAAATAAAATATAATGATCTTTGTTGATAAATTAAAAAGTAAAATATATTTCAGTTTGAANTGTGTGTGTGTGTGTGTGTGTGTGTGCGTGTGCGTGTGTGTGTGTGTCTGTTCAATTCTGTAGCCTTGTAATTTTGAATCTAATTCAGAAGACAAGGGAACTCCTCCTGGGTCAAGCATTGGAAGAAATTTGCCTTTGTGGAGGACTTCTTGATGGAACTAACCTACATTTGCGTTGCAAGAAGAGGAAAAACATCAACGGTAAGACTGACGGCAAGAGGACTCTAACCCATGATCCGTCTACCACTGAGATATTTTACGTCAGCACTGTGGTTGGTGTGAGCAGCTACCGATGGGATTCGAACTCGGTTCACCTCATTGGAAGGCGAACGTTCTATCCCCTGAGCCACTACGATTGAAATTATTTTAATTGAATGAGAAAGGTGGATATGACTTATTGGCTTAGAAATCTTTTATTTTGTTTCCTTTATTTCAATTTAAATGTTATTAAAGCCATGCACAAATAGTATTAAAGTCATGCACAAATAGTATTAAAGCCATGCGCAAATAGCATTAAAGCCATGCACAAACTGTATTTATGCAAAAAAAATTCACAGAATGTACAAAACAGAAACAAATGAAATTACACTACAAGACGTTTGATTATAACTGAAAGAAGAAAAAAAAGCAAACAAGCATGGAATTCACAATATTCAGTGATATAATGTATATATGGTTTTCAAGATGGTTTGGAAAAAAGCATTTTAAAAAAATGCATTGAAGTTATCAAGTTTAAGTGAAGTGGAGTTGGTAGTTAATGAGATTCACTCAAAAGTGATTGAAGATTATATTTTCCTTGTCTGCAATCTTTTTTTTTTTAAAATTTGATTGCCTGCATATTCATGAGTATTTTATTGAAAACTATTTTATAAGCTTATAAATGTAAAATACAGAACATTTAGAATTTATGCACATATGTTTGGTGTGAGTGTTCTATAAATTTTACTTTCGTTTCATAAATTTGTTTTATAGTTTTTGATTGTCAATGTAACCTTCTAAGTTATTTTTTATCACTATATTGTAAAAGCATGTATATTGTATTGTTAATGCTGAAACAATTGTTCAAAAATTGTACACAAAGTAAAAGTTACACCAATTATGTAGGTTTATTAAACTTAATGTAATTAAGATTTAATTTAAAGAAATTATTGAGCTTATTGGGGTGGATTGCTGATGTAGTGGCATGGCACAAATTCATGTTGTTGGATTTTGTACCTTGATCTCAAATTTTAAGCTTGTGAATTGGTAATCCTTAAATATTTAGCTGTTTACATAAATTGAAATTTACATTTCCACTGTTTATGTAATGTATAATAAAAACATCCAATATTTTGTGTTTCGATACGAGAAGTATGCTAAAAATATGATTATTTATTTAAGCCAAACTCGAAAGCTTCGTCAACTAATTTTATGCTCCATGATTATTATACGTTTTAAAAAAACCCACTCAGGTCAAGATTATTATTTTTTTTTTTTAAAGCTAGATTGAAATATATATTAGAAATTCTGCAAAAAAAGCTATATCATTCATAACATTTATGTATATCAATTTAGATATACCACATTAAATGGCATATATTAAGCGTTAATTTATGCTTGCAATTTAAGTTAGGACAGCAAGACAGTGCGATAAATTTTTTTCACGGAATAGCGTTTATATGAAACAAACGTATATATGAAAACAAAAAGAAGCTTTTTGAAAACCATTATTTTCTTACAGTTTTTCATATCAATTTTTAACTTATTGAAAACTTCAACTGATAAATGATTTTATAATTGCACATTTTTAAGCAAATTTTTTATGAGGGAAACTTTTACGTAAATAAAAATTATTCTAGGCGGACATCTAAGTAGAGCGTAAAATAATTCTTAAACAAACTATTTTGTAAATCCTAATTTATTGTACCATTATGTTCACGATGTTTAAAAAATTAATGGAAATATTGGTAAAAAATTCTTTAAGAATAGTTTGACTTCTCTATATTTTGTGTCGCACACCTTCACTCAAGTTTTCTAAAGTAAAAACTTTTTCGTTGGAATAGCAAGAAAAGTTTTATTTTCACTATAAAATTGATAAGTAATCTTATTCTCATTAAATTGTTAAAACAGCAATTGCTTTAATAGCTGGTAATTTATGCAGGGTTAAATATGCTTTAATCTTTCAATTCAAAATAAAACTAATATTAAGGTGTATTCAATATTTTAAAATTTTTCCAGTGTTTGCAAATTGTTGTAGTATGTTGGTGTTCTGTAGAACCTTAGGGTTTTTTTTAGTGTAATTACATTCTATGGTCTCCCAAAACGGTTCTAAAATTTCATGTTTCTTAGTCAAAAGAGTGAATTTTTTTGAAAAAAAAAATGTAGTGGCACGAACTTAGAATAGAAGATAATACTTAATCTCGATAGAACTTACACGATAGAACTTAATCTCGTTTTCAAGATTAAAAGTGCAAATTTATGTGAAAAAGAGATTATTTATGAAATTGTACATCACGGAAGCTATTGAATTACGCCACACGTAACCTATGTAGAAGTTTCAATTTTTAGTAATAAATACGCATTTTTTCGATTTTCAACCCAATAGTCAGGTTAAGTAGATTCCAGGTTATATTAAGTCTTCGATATAAATTCTGTGGGATTCATTTGTTACATTCGAATACATTTTTTGAACTTGATAACTATTATATTCATAGTTAAATTAATTTAAAATTTAAGTTTTGACAAAAAAGGATGTCTCAGAACTATTTCCAGAAATTTATTGTTTTTCAATTTAAAAATTTATTTTATGTGATAATCGGGAAAGCTTTTTAATGATTTGAAATTAAGAATCGAAAAAAAAAGTTTTGAGCGATAGTTTCTAACGTACAATTATACGTTCATCCATATAGCCATTTTAGAAATCAAGGAAAATAAACTCTTTTGCCCACACAATTTGTCATTAGTAAAACTTCTAAGGATTTAAAATTTTAATTAAACTCATTTCGAACTCATTCAACTTATTTTTAATTCAATTTATTAGATTTTTTATTTCAACAAATACATACTACTTAAAAAAATTTTAAAAATTTATAAATTTAATCAGAGAAATTTTTTTTCTTCCATCATGCGTTACATTATTTTGAGAAACACTGATTCAGTCACATATCAATCTGCGATTAAAATCACAGATATTTTTTACTTTCAGATTACAAATCACTTATTAACATAATAACTAGCTAAAAGTTCCCTAAAATTTAGACCGAGCATTTGGTGACATTTTGACGAAACCTTACAATAATGTTTAAAAAGAATGTAAATTAAGAAATGTATAGAAGTGCAAATTTTCGTTTAAAGTATTTTTTCCTTTTTATCTCCATATTTCTTAATCTTCTTAAAACGCTCATTACCTTACATCTTGGACAAAATGGGTATTAAATGTAATTTTAAATTATTGATTAAATATAAAAAGGTTATGCCACGACTGTAAGACATATACCGCGACAATTAGAGGAGCTATGAAAATCATAGCATTTTAATTATTAATTATTTAATATTTTCCCGAGGAATTAAGCTATTATTTACATTTTTCATTTTGAATATTTCTAGCGAAGTGTTTCGCAAGCGTCGCTATAAATAAACTAAGCCGATGTATCGAATAGTTTTAAAACTGCTAATTTCATGACATCTCCAAATGGTGATTTTGACCAAGTTGACGTTATCGATCAAAGATTAAAAAAAATTGTTAAACAGTTACAATTTTGATAAACAGAGCTGTTTATTATTGAATATTACTACTTTGTACTTTAAATATTGTAACAGGATTGTCTACAATTTAATTTATAACAATACCTAATGCTATACCAATGTAAAAAAATTCATTTTTCGAATGTCACTCCTAAAATTAATTGAAATTTTTGAACGATTTTTAAAATCAGGGGCTAAATTTGTGTCTTGCATTCAATTTCAGGACCCCAGCACTGGATGCTGGAGTTATAACAGACGCACATACTCAGATACGCGAGCTCTTCCATTTACTTAATGTACATAATGTTACATAGATTTAACGTTAAATCTGTAAATTGTGTTATGAGGAAAGAAAACATTATGATTTTATCAGCTATTGACAAAATGCCATCAATTACTGCACTTTGAATTTTAAATATTGCTTAATAATTCAGGAAACTTTAATTATGTTACTTGAGAACTAAGAGACTTAAAATGCCTTAACAATTCATGAAATTTTGTGCTTAGAATTTTGAATACAGCTTAGCTTGATATTAATTGTTGTAACTTGAGAACTAGAGATATAAAATGCTTTAATAATTTTAAGAAGAAAAAAAATAGCAAATATATTGTGCGTAGAGTTTTAAAATAAACTTAGTTATTGGCTTAATGTTAATTGCATAACTTGTGAACTAGAGATTTAAGAGGACTTGCGGAATAGCAATGCACGGAATGACATAAAATTTTGTGCTTAGAATTTTCCATATTACTTATTTATTTTTCTAATGTTCATTACGTCCCTTGCCAAATAAGGATTTAAAATGCATTAAGGATTCACAGAATTATTTAAAATATTGTGCTTGGAGTTTTTAAATAAACTTATTTGTTTTTTTAATGTTAATTTTGTAACTTGCGAACTGGAGATTTAAAATGCCTTTACAATTCATAGAATAACATCAAATGTTGTGCTTAGAATTTTTACTATAACTTATTTATTTGTTTAATGTTAATTATATTACTTGTCAAATAGAGATTTAAAATGCATCAACAATTTACAAAATAACATCAAATATTGTGCTCAAAATTTTAAATATCGCTTAGTTATTCGTTTAATATTAATAATGTCACCTGCCAAATAGAGACTTAAATTGCATTAACAATTCACAGAATATCATTAAATGTGGAGCTTAGAGCTTTAAATATAACTGATTTATTTGTTTAATGTTGATGGCGTATCCTTCCAAGTAGAGATTTAAAATGTCTTGACAATTCACAGAATATCATCAAATGTTGTGCTTAGAATTTTAATAAAACTTATTTATTTGCTTAATTATGTAACTTGAACTGGAGGTTTAAAATGATTTAACAATTTACAAAATATCATTAAATGCTGTGCTTAGAATTTTAAATATAACTGATTTATTTGTTTATATTTGATGATATCACCTTCCAAACAGAGATATAAAATGTCTTAACAATTCACAAATTATCACCAAATGCTTTGATTAAAATTGTAATATAATTTATTTGTTTGTTTAATGCTAATAATATAACTTGAGAACTAGAGATTTAAAATGCTTTAACAATTCACAAAATAGTATTGAATGTTATGTTAACAATTTTATATATCTTTTGTTTATTTGTTTATTAATTATGTACCTTGTGAAGTGATGATAGAAAATATCTTAGCAATACAAATTTATTTTTTTCAAATGTTGTATCTAGATTTTTAAATATAACTCAAATATTTAATTAATTAATAAACTTAAGTATAATTTATTCTTTTTTGGGTAAGTGTTGAATTTACAAAAATAAACAAATTAATGCAAAAATCTCTGGATATATGTAAATTTAAAATAATATAATTGTAAAAAAACAAAGTTGATTGTATAAAAATAACATGAGATAATAAACATTACAATATACATTTTGCGTTTTAATTTCTACTTTATTTACATTTCTTATGTAAGCAACATAAAACATTAATTCACAATTTTGAATACACTTACTTTGCAACGTCGTTGGCTTCTGGAACGATCATTCGCGTTAAAATAAAGCAGAATAAAGTTTTTAATTCATTCTTAGAAGATATCCCGTTTTTCCTCCCACTTAGACTACTAAAGTTACTTCTAATTTAAAAATAATGAAGGGATTAAGGGATTGAGGGTGATGTTTTTAAAGTTATTCTTAGTAGAATAAGCCTAATTACATAGACATAAGGAAAATTCGCCCTTAACAGGAAGTTAAAAATTTCTACCAACACTGTTGAAAAGTGATTAACCAAGTTTTCGGTTCTCTACAATATCAGATCGTAAACCATTCAATTCTTCTCGTATCATGAAAATACGTTACGATGTGGACCATTAAATATGGAAATGATCTCTGCCTTTATTAATTCTTTTTTACTTTTTTGTAACTTGGATTTTATAGTTCTATTTATAGAGGGTGATGTAAGTCTAAACGGTATACGAGGAAAACTTTTTATCTTCCGTATTTTCGATATATTTAATGTGGGATTAAATAATACTTTTTCGTGTAAAAACTTTTGGTAAGGAAAGATGTTTTAAGAGAATTATCTGTGCTGATTTTGTTCATGAATTGAATAATTAAAGAAATAATGGAGAGTTCACTGAAATATCATCTTTGTTTTGAGATAAATAAGGCGTTTGATTTTAAAAGTATTTGAGAGTGTTTTCACTTATTTTTTAGGGGAAAATAAAGACACTTCTCGCTTATGCTTTTGAATTGAATGAAATGAGGCTTTTTTTGCGAATAATATGCGATTTTAATAACTGATGTAAGTTTGCAACAGTTACTCATGACTGTTAGGACAAGTTTAACCATTCTAAAGCTAGTGCTGAAAATGGTGCAAAATGTCAATATGGAGAAATGCTATAGTTTTGTCTAAATGAAAAGCGTGTGAGATCTAATTTCTTTAATATTCAGAAACTTACAACAATTCTGCATTAGCTTAGCTCATAAAAATCTTCAAAAACTGAGGATAAGGTAGCGATTTTGATAATTTTCATCTAAAGGGGAATGCCACTAAATTGGCGATTTAAAAAAAAAAAACGTTTAATAACCTTTAAAATATTTAAGTTATTCGTCAGTTCTGAAACCCAGATAATTCTTCACAGTAAGACTGTATATATGTAGTTTAAAATTATCGTTTTTGCTTCAAGTGTAAGGCGCTTAAACTGTGGCTTTTTTTTATTTTTCTCAGCGACAGAGCTTCGAAAAACCACGTTAAGTTGTTTTTATTATTTAAGAAAAACTGTTCAATCAAAAGCATTTTAATTTTTATTTAGTTTTAAAAAGGCTTCAGATTTCTCTTGCTTTATTTTGATGAGGAGATATATATTTTTAAAAAAGGATTAAACTAATTAGAAATTGTTATTTTATCTCATACTAAAGAAAGAAAGATATAATATGTAATGCTGCCGCAACTATTTCGGATATAACATAACCCTTTATTTTGTTTATTCTCAAACTACAGAGAAATGTGTCAGGAACACGAAGAAATATAAAACTTTAACAACTGGTAATTTGCTTGAGATTAATTAGTTAGTAAACCTACAAAAGTAAAATAAAAATAAAAATAAATAAGAAACACGTGTGTGCCGCTCTAATTGAACAGTAATAAAATTTGAATAATTAAATTGGGAGTGAATGATAGAATAACTCGTTAACTAGTAATGATAGAATAACTCGATAACTAGCAATGATAGAATCACTGGTTAAAGAGCCACGATGGCTCAGGGGATAGAGCATTCGCCTTCCAATGAGGTCAACCGGGGTTCGATCCCGGCGATGGCTGGTCGATACGAACTCCGCATCCGGCTGGCACCGACCACAGTGCTGACTTGAAATATCCTCAGTGGTAGACGGATCATGGGTTAGAGTCCCCTTACNGGTTCAAAATTACAAGGCTACGGAGTTGAACATTAATAGTTGTAAACCCAAAAATTGGGTCGGCTGTTCAACGACGGTTATAAAATAAAACAAAATTACTCGTTAAGACTAGTAACGTGAATTTTAAAATATTGCATGTGTTTTATTTTTGAAAGATTCAAGTATTTGTACATAGAGCTAAGTTTTATTTTATTTTATAATCGTCGTTGAAAAGCAAATTCAATTTTGAGTTTACGAGTTCATTATTCAATTCCGCAGCCTTGTAATTTTGAACCCAATCCAGAAGACAAAGGAATTCCTGGATCAAGCATTGGGGGAAATTTACCTTCGTGAAGGACTTTTTGATGGAACTAACCCGCATTTGCGTTACACGGAGTGGAAGAACACAAAAACTTCCTACGGTTAGCTTGAAGGCAAAGGGACTCTAACCCATGATCCGTGAACCACTGAGGTTATTTTACGTGAGCACCATGGTCGGTGTGAGCCAGGTGCGGATATATAACTAGATTAAAGTAATTATTAGCATGGTGAACGTTTTACGACAAGCACCCGTTCTCCATTGGCAATTAGGTAGGTAAGTACTTTTTTTACGTCGCATTAGAGCTACACAATGGGTATATGGTGACGGTCTGGGAAACATCCATGAGGATGATCCAAGGACATTTTTATCCTCTACAGAGGGGATGACTCCCATGCTTAGGTAACCTAACTATATGAGTGCGAAGTCGAGCAGTTTACGTTAGAACAGTTCAGCGAAAACCGATATCGTGTACCCTCTGTCCCTACACAGCCTGATAAAAGTGGTCACCCGCCCGACTGACCACAGCGAGTGATGCTTGACTTTGGTCAACCTGGGACTTTTGGGTATCAGTGTCTTTACAAACAGTCGAATGCAAGACCGTCAACAGTTATAATATGAAATACTAGGAAGTACGCACCGTGTTCTTTCGTGAGGCATCACGATTTCTTTCTTTATCTATCGATACGATTTAATTACCACAACAAGTTTGAGTTACTTTTATTTTATATAACACTTTATGTTATAACACTTTATACTTCCTCAATTATTTATCGAAATTATAATTTATTATTATTATTTTTTAAATGATTCTACTATCTACTCTAAATAGACATTTTGTATTGCCCTAATTTCAAGATTCAATGAAGTTTTTTACCACATATGATTGTTTTGCTGCATTCGATTTGAGTAGTCAATTTATATCGACTACATTTTTTTAGATTTTCAAAAGTTTATTATAAATATGGATATACGATTAGGGGCTTCGAAAATTCTTTTATTTAAATTTTAAATTCAGCTTAAAAATTAAAGCAGAAAGATAAAGTTTACTTTGGTGCTGCCATCTTTTGACTTAAGAGGAAAACAATAAATGGACTGAATTACACAACAGATTTAGTAGTGCTAAATCATAACAAGTCCGAACATCGAACTAAATACTAATAAATTAAAATTATCTTTTTATCAACATGAGACCTTATTATTATTTTTTTTAAGAATAAATATCGTTCAAATATTTAGAGAGAATAGTCGTATTCAATTATAACTAGATAATGACTTCATTCAATTACACAATTACTTTTTTCCTAATATTAACATACATTTTAACTTATCAAATTGAAAAAATTTTTTTTGGTTAGAGTTTGATAGGACAATACTAAAATGTTTTCTGAAATATTTATGGTAAACATTATAAGCGTATCCGTATCACAAATGGGAGAGAAAAAATGAGAAAAAAATGAGTGTCTTTGATGCTGCCATCTGTTGTGGAAGTTTGGAAAGAATATTTCAATAAACTGTGCAAAAGATTGATTTTAGCTTTGTTAAATTGTAACGCTTCAAATCAGGAAAATAAAGTTAAATTTTTTGACTTGCGTAACAATTTACTATTTATTTTACAAGTTTCATTAGAGAGTCCGATTTAATGTGATAATCTCGTGCATGAAAGGACAGTGATGCCATTCCTCAATTAAAAAGAAAAAAAAAATTAAGATATGGCAGTAAAAGTTACTGTCTTGATCATCAAAAAATTTTTGATATTTTATCTTTTATCACCGAATTGATGTAATTTGCAAAATAAGTGCTATTTAAAAAAATAAAAAACAACGCTCGCATATGCTACATGGTTTTATTTTTAATCTCTCGATTCTATAAACTGATTTCAAGAATTAAAAACTGATTTTCAAGCAGAATATATAACAAAAACCTTTAATTTAGGTTTTAATTATGTAATTATCTTGATAACATATAAAGTAGGATTATATATGTATCTCGCCACAGCATAAGAGTACCACACACTTACATCTTATCTGAAATTGTGAATGTAAATGCTTAAATTGTTTATCAGAATATTGAATGTGATTTATTGAAACAGAAACTTATTGATAAAAATTTTAAGCATATCTAAGACGATAATGAGTTTGTTAAAATTATAAAAGTATTAAAAATATACATAGATAAAAATTGATTTGCAATTAAGACGAAAGAAATTTTTTAATTTTTTAGTAAAGCCCTTTGAGCTTTGTTTCATTTATTAAGTATTTCAAACTCGGCTTAAAATGCCGATACCTACATTGCACTTGCTTTATATAGTAAAGTACCCAGAATATAGTTGCTCCATAACACTAAACAACATGAGGCTTTACACTCTTTATTTGATTGGGACATTGAATCAAATGCAATTTTTACAGTGAAATAAATGAATGAGAACTACAAGAAAACTCTTGTCTTGTAATTATTTTCTATCTTCCGTGATGGTGATGATGACCATGATCATGATGAACAGGATATGGAATGTGAATAGGTACACTATGATGACCGTGATGCCTTCTTCCTAACAACTTAGCAAGTATTCCAGCGGCGAGAAGTGTTTCAATTCCACTCCCACCTCCTCCACTGTTGCCATGAAGTAAAGCAGAAACTGACTGATATTGAGGATGCATGCTACTCAACAATAAAGAGACTAGAATAACTGACAAAATAGACACTTTTGAGATTTGGAAGAAATTCACCATTTCAATGACCTGCCAAATATATAAGGAATATATTAGTAAGAGTAAAATGTATAAGTTCTGATACTTCTAACTTATTGGCTTTTTTATTTAAATGATACAGTGAAAAGTGTGTAAGTTGACTATACATGTTGCATTGGTTTAGAGGTTACCTTCAACTATCAAAATTTACCTCAAGATTGAATCAAGTTAGCATGTCTTATATACTAGTGAATTGATGCTTAATAATCGCAGTGGTAGTTACGCCACAATACTCCCCCACCAGAATTTTATGAGGGATAGAATTCGATGAACAGATACCACTAGTTGCTGTATTTGTGAAAGACCGGGAGAGCTAGATTAAGGTCACCGGTTTTTTTGAGGCTTTAGCCATGAGAGCTGTATTTAAGTTCATGGTTGTATGTTGTCACTCCTGTATTGCTATTAACAGTCGAGTGAGTGCAGGATCCTGTTGTGTATAATTGAGACTGAGAAGCAACAGCGCGTGGAGGACGATGATGCAGTCTCAAATAGCAAGTCAACTTTTCAATGTGGACCATGCATCGAAGTAGTCGTGATCATATCACGTCCGGGTCACCAAGGTGGAGAAACTTCATTAGAAAATCTCAACCTTCAACTACCAAGATTGAATCAAGTTAGCATGTCTTATATACTAGTGAATTGAAGTTTAATAATCGTAGTAGTAGTTAAGCCACAAGGTCAATCAAGGACCTCCAGAATCGTATAATTGGATGTTTTAACCATCTTAGTTTTGGATCCCAGTCCAGAGGAAGTAAGGAAGCTTTATATGGTAACCACCTTAACGACACATCAAGAGATACATTCCATTTGCTTAAAAGTCTTTGAAATATAGCGAAATAAGTAAAAAAAGAGGAAAATTACGCTATGGCCACTATATAAAGCTTCCCTTACTTGGTTGTTCAACCATGGTGGCTTAAGTATTCTACTACAAACCATGAGGTCCTTGCCGAATCCTACGGCCACCACGCATATTATATTAATTTCTTTATTTTAAATTTATTTTGTTTTATTTACGAACCCATGTCTCACATATACCCTTAATATTTCCCGCAATGGTTGAGCAACAAAGACGTTTAGATTAATCTTTAATACTATTTCACCAATTCTGTAAAATTTTGATGCTTTAAAATATTCCTAAATTTTTTTTCTGTTCCTTATAATATAATAAATTCGGTTCTTAAAAATGTAGCTGTAATTAAGATGGCGGTCAAGTTGACAGGTTTTACTAATTTCGTAAAACCTTATCTTAATAAGTCTTATCTTAAATAAATTTAATGGTTAACCTGGATAGCATGCATACCATATAATCCCAATTAAACCTTACCCATACCTTACATTTTAAAATAAAAATATGCATTATTAAGAATAGAGTTTAAGTTCTGAGATTTATGTTTCTTTTGCATTACTTTTTTCCTTAGATAATATTAGCTTCAAGACTTAACATACAATTTCAAAGAAATATCTATAAAATAACTATGACAGGATTTATTAAAACTCTACATTTAAATTGAAAAATATAATAAACATGAATAAAAATACTTTTAAAAAATAAAATAAACACGAATGACCATGTCTTAAAAAATTATAATAACCATGGATAACAAGAGAATATGGTTTGAAAATAGCCGATTTCTATTAAATAACAGTGAAATAATAGCTACTACGATGAAATATAATTTGGTCTTCCATTAAACATTGTTAATTAGGAGTACGGATTTTTAAGATTTTGCAAAACAATTTGATGACCACTGCTGAGATGAAGATGAGTTAGGCAGAAACATTTTGAAGATAAGTATGTTATACTAAAATAAATATCATAGCCAACACCTTATTCGGAAGAACGTTAAAAAACTTTTAAATAATAAATAACGATGAAATCCTAAACAAATGAAATTTTCATGTTTGCTTAGTTGGCATTTGCTAAACAATAATTGAAAAATAGAAATTAAGCGACAGTAGGACGTGATATACAGAAATAGAGACATACAAATTAATATTGAAAAAAAAATTACATTCTTACACACGATTAGCCCTAATATTGTGCCATATTTTCCATACAATCTGTAAAAATATCTTTCGATACCAAGTTTACAAAATCAGCAGCACTATAGCAAAAATATAAGTACCTTTCAAACGTTATGAACATTTGTTTACAAATGTTTATTAAAAATAACTTGGTTGACAGAGTAAATGCATACAACAGTGATGGTCTTCTAAATATTTTTGGTAACTTGAACTTCAAAAAACATGTCAACTGCTCACGAGAACGTAAACTGTAATGCAACAAATTAAAAGTTAAACGAATTTTTTTAAAATAATTTTCCTTTTACTTATTTTTTTACAACTGACTGTGATAGTCTTCTAAATATTTTTGGTAACTTGAACTTCAAAAAACATATCAACTGCTCACGAGAACGTAAACTGTAATGCAACAAATTAAAAGTTAAACGAATTTTTTTAAAATAATTTTCCTTTTACTTATTTTTTCACAACTGACTGTATTTATCGACAAACTCATTCTCTGTCGTGCAGACTCATTTAGAAACTAATTTATTGATTCTCCTACAATTACTCATTTATTTACTCATTAAAAATTCGCTATTTCAAGAAACATTATGTATGAATATATCATTTGGTAAACCAAATATCTATCACAGTTGAAAATGTATGCCAGAACTTATAAAATGAAGATCTCCTGAAAGATAAACTTTTTTACATATTTTATGAATATATCACTTGGTAAACTAAATATCTATCACGATTGAAAATGTATGCCAGAACTTATAAAATGAAGATCTCGGGAAAGATAAATTTTTCTACATATTTTATGAATGTACCACTTGGTAAACTAAATATCTATCACGATTGAAAATGTATGCCAGAACTTGTAAAATGAAGATCTCGGGAGAGATAAATTTTTCTACAATAATGTGTAAATGGTCATCATTTAAAGCAAAAAGTCGCTAAAGCAGCGATGAAATTTGCTATTAAATTAGAATTATGCTCGTTTCTAAATAGAGATTGACCAAATGACCTTTTTTTAGTTCAAGTTAAAGAGTTAATAATTTTTGAACAATAATCGAATGTTATATTTTTTAAACCATCCTAATTTCTGTACATTTATCTACACATCTTTGTAATTTCAATATTTTAAGTCTCTTATACAATTTTTAAGCAGGAAAACGAAATAAAACGTAAAGTTGAACATCCAAATCAGTGACAGCAACTCTTATATCTATCTATCTATCTATCTATCTATCTATATCTATATATATATATATATATATCTGTTTTGCTACTTACTTTTCGT